CTAGGAGGTAGTATCACAGGGATTCTATCGCCCACTTCACTGCTAGTGCTTCTTTCTCCACCGTTGCATATGCCTGCTCCCTAGGAAACAATTTCCAGCTTAGGTATATATAGGGTGTTTTTCCCCATTCATTTCCTGTGCCAGAATGGTTCCTAGTCCAATGGCCGAGGCGTCGGTTTGTAAAATAAAGTCCTTAGTGAAATCGGGGTGCACCAGTACCGGTGCCCTTGTTAAACAGTTTTTTAGTCTCTGAAAGGCCCTCTCACATTGTTCTGACCATGGTACCTTTTTGGGTTGCGATTATCAGTGAGGGGGGCTGTGATGGTCGCGCAATTGGGTATAAGCCTATGGTAGTATCCCACCAAGACCAAAAACTGCCGCACTTGTTTTTTCGTCGTGAGTGCTTTGTATTCTGCTAGGGCTGTATCTTACTAATCAGGGGCCTTAAAACCCCCCTCCCCACTGTGTACCGCGGATATGTAACCTCCCACAGTGTTCCTGGAACGCCTGGTCCATCAACCTCTGAAAGGTCGCCGCTGCCCCGTGTAACCCAAAGGGCATGGCCTTAAATTGGAACAATTCTTTGGAGGCGGGCATCAAGGGGATTTGGCAGTACCCCTTTGTTAAGTCCAATGTTGATGTGTATTGGGCCCACTCTAACCTCTCCAATAGCTCATCTACCTGGGGCATAGGGTAGGCATCAAAGTGAGAGAGCACATTAACTTTCCTAAAGTCTACACAGGCGTGAACGGTTCAGTCAGGCTTAGATACCAGCACTATCGAGCTCCTCCAGTCACTACGGGATTCCTCAATCACACCTAATCTCAGCATATTCTGTACTTCTGCTCTGTCTCCCGCGTCTCACAGGGCTTCCACTTTTTTCACAAGTTAACATAATAAACCTGTAATCCCTTTCTTTTCCCCACTAAATGCACTTCGTAAACCACATTCCCTGCTCTTCGAATGATCTCAAAGGGGCCCTGCCGCTTTGCCAACTATTCTGACTCCTTCGTGGATAACAACAGGAGTACCCTGTCCCTAGTTTGAATTCCCTCAGTTTGGCCTCCCAGTTGTAATAAGGCCTGTCGACTCTGTGCTTGCAACAAATTCACCCTAGCAAATTTCCCTAACCACTGCAACTTCCCCCTCAACCGGAGGACGTATGGTACAGACCACTGCACCCTTGTCTCCTGGTCCTCCAGGTTTCCTTAATGAAGGCTAAGATTCTCCGGGGCTGCCAACTATACAAGAGCTCAAATGGGAAGAACCCCGTTGATGATTGTGGCACCTCCCTCACAGCAAACAGTAAAGCGGGCAATAATTTATCCCATTCATGAGGGTTGTCCTCTGTAAATTGCCAGAGCGTGGTTTTAAGGGTTCAGTTAAAGCATTCTACTAAACCGTCTGTTTATGGGTGATACACGGATGTTCGCAATGTTCGCAGAGGGCTGTTTCAGTAGCTTACATACTCGCATATTAATCGGGAGGAGACATTAGTCCCCTGATCCGTCAAAATCTCCTTAGGGATCCCTACCCGAGCAAAGTTCTTTACTAACTCAGTAGCAATCATAGGTGCCATAGTGTTTTTTAAGGGTGTGGCTTCCAGATATTGTGTGGCATAAACTACAATGACAAGTATATATTGGAAGTCTGCCTTAGAGCATTCTAAGGGTCCCTCTAAATCTAGGTCCATCCAGTCAAAGGGGACCCCAATGACAGGCAAAGGCACTAAGGGAGCTTTGGGTCCTAACCGAGACTGAGTCCACTGACCTTCGGGGCATGATTCACAGAAATCTTGTACTGCCTTATACACCCCGGGCCAGAAGAAGTTTGCATTTTTTACATCAGTGTCACGATGTTGACTCATATTTAGCTTGTGGTCCACTGTGACTCTTAGATCACTTTCTGCCATATTCCTTCCTACACAGTCATTTCCCATCCGTTAAGATAAATAGTTTGACACCACTCAAAACACCCTACTATTATCTTCATTCAGTGTTGGAATAGAATGTGGTGTATTATAACTAATGTTGCTGTAATAGGGTCACAAACCACATTAGCCCTAAATGTAGGAACTGTAAAATATTACACCAGTGCTTGCAGGAAAAGATACTGTCATTGTAAAGAGTCTCAGATGGACAAGCCTTCCCCTTCCAGACTCAAGTGGATGTAGTTGGGGGGCAAGGGGCTTCAACTAGTCAGTCTGCCAGCCATGAACTGTAAGACTGGTTCAAGCTGTCTCCTTTCCCTCCTCTTCTATGGATAGACCTAAAGCAGACTCCATAAGGAGACTCTTTGTTATTCCAGTGGAAGCTGGAATCTTTTGGCCAGCCTAAGTGGTAGCTAAGAGCTGAAATAACTAAGAACTGAAGTCACTAGTTTGGCCTGGAGCCAGACACATCGGCTGTGTCTACACTGGACCCCTTTTCCGGAAAAGGGATGCAGATGAGACAAGTCGGAATTGCAAATGAAGTGGGGATTTAAATTTTCCCCGCTTCATTTGTATAAACATTCCTCTTAAAATCAGGAATAAGGGACCTTTCGGAAAAGGCTTTATTTTCCAAAAGATCCCTGTCTAGACTGGCGCTTTTTTCCAGCAAAGCCCCGAGCCAGAAAAAAGCGGCAGCCATGTTTATGCAAATGAAGTGGGAGGGATTTAAATCCCCGCTTCATTTGCAATTGTGATGTGTCTAATTTGCATCCCTTTTACGGAAAAGGGATGCAGTCTAGACACA